GAGAAGAGAGGAAAGAAGGTGCTGTAACTTTCGAAGGCTGGGGGGATGTTCACAAAGGAGATGCCTCATTAGCTGAAGAGCAAAGACAATTTTCTGAATTAGTGAAGGTGGAAGGAGGGTCTCCATCTTGAGCAGAGGCGTGGGAAGTGATGGCTGCGCGGGGTATGGGGAGAGGTCCAGTGTGCCTAGACTTCGAGGCGGGTGTGTTTGTGTTTGTGTTTGGGAGGTGAGGAAGGTGAGGAAGTTTGGAAAGCCTCCTTAGAACCTGAGTAGGTGTGGTTCTTTTGGATTCAGACAGTTGAGGCTTCCTCAGCCACCTGAAGGGATTGGTTCTGGTTATTAGTAGGGCACGCGTAGTGCGGAAGAAGAACTAGAAAACCTAAGGAACCAAGGTACTCCAGGGACAGGCATCTCTATCATTTTGCAACCTCTTTCTCCCCACCTCCTAGCTACACTGTGCCGGCTTCCCCACTCCCCTCACATTCCTGGACGGCCAGTTTCCTCAGCATCTTGGTGGGGAGTGTTCACCTTTGCTCTCGGAATCCCATGGTGATGGTCTCGGAAATATGGAGGATGTATGTGGGAAAACCGAGTGGGAAAACCAGGAAGTACTCGGTACTTGGCAGCCTTTCAGCTAGAACGGCCCACATTGCTGTTTTACACATTGACATCCAGTGAGTTCCATTTGAACAAAGTGTTCCATGGCACAAGTAGAGTTTGAAAACTCCAGCTCTAGTTTAAATCTTGGAGGGAGCCATTCTGCTTGGCTTTCACTGATTATGTCACTTGGGTTGGGTAAGATCTCATGCCTCTGGTCTCACTGAACAGCCCATGGGCACGTATGTGCAGGGGCCACCAGAGGTCAAGGGCTCTTTCAGTCAGGTACCTCCCCACATGGAAAGAAAACAGACGCAGGGTTGTGAACCCCGCCGGGGGTAGATAAGGTGTGGAAGGCCATTTTAAATCAAAGGGAGTGTTGGACATGGTGGACAATGTGACTGACGTGTCCAGGCAACAGGTCTTCTTTTAAAAAGTATGGTTTCTAGCCCCTTGCTCAGCATTTTGTGGAGTCTTCCTATTCCAGGAGAGGCTTGGCTCCTCAAAATGTCTATTTTTCCATAAGACTTTGAAATATTCCTTACTCTATTCCCTTTTTGGAGATCTCCATGTACAGTAGCATATGAAAACCTGTAAGGCTTAAGCTAAGTTCAAGTAAAAGGAAATAATTTTTTGAAAACCACCCATACACATGCAACACGGATTAGAATTTTGGAGATTGATCACCCTGGAATGGAAAGTATCAATCGTTTTATAAAAAGACTTAACGGTTACCAAGCTGTGGGGTGGGGACTCCTAATAGAAGCCTCCTTACCTTTTTGAAAATTTTGAAAATTTCAACAATTTCTTAGTGTCCTTGGACATTCATTTTTTCAGCAAATAATAAGGGCCCAAAGTGCTAGGCATATACACTTGGTTATGTGTTTGCAGTGTGAAAATTCTTATCTTTTTATTGGGATAATTTTTTGGGAAAGTACAATCAAAAAAATTTTTTTAAGATTTCTTTTATTTATTTACTTGAGAGAGAGAGATTGAGTGGTGGGGAGGGGCAGAGGGAGAGAGAGAGAGAGAGAGAGAAGCAGACTCCCTGCTGAGCAGGAAGCCCAATGTGGGGCTTGATCCCAGGACTCTGAGATCATGACCTGAGCTGAAGGCAGACCCCCAACCAACTGAGCCACCCAGGCACCCCCAAGAATGCATAATCTTAATGGTCATTTTTAGAATTCTGTATTTCTGACTATGAAATTAAAAAAAAAAGATGCTAGCACCATTATTAAAAGTTTTTAACCACAGTAATGAGTTGAAAGCCATCAGTATCTCCTGGATCCAGAGTTCTTTCCCCTCTATCAGATGACTGCTCCGTTTTCCAAACATGGAAATATACTAGGCCCTGGTGGGAGAGAGTCTAGTGCTTCTGCCCTCAGTGCAGGGTGGGAATCGGTGAGAATCAAGAATGCTCACGAATTAGCCCCATGCTCGGGTTCATGAAAGGATAGGAACTAAAAGGTTCTATTCTGTAGTATTTGAAGATAAACATTACCTAATAATTTTTTTTTAAGTTGGAAAGTTTATAGGAGCTAAAACTCCTCTTTTGGCTCATAACATATTCCTCCTCCACCAAATTATATGGTAGCTTGTTCCATGTTTCGATTTCTAAATAAATTGGTCCTCATTATTCTTGGATTCCTGACAGACATCACGTCTAAGAATTAATGTTTCACATTCTGCCACTTTGAGCATGTTAAACAAATTACTCAGTGTCATTGTCACTGAATTAATTAGAGGGAAGTGAGACTTTAGCACGCCTATGTGAACCTGTTTTTTTTATCAGGCTTTGTTTATTTTGTATTAATAATTACAACTCCACATTGGTTTTGTGGCTTTAACATTACCTGCATCCAGGAGCCGCTGTGAGGATTGCTGTCCATGAAGTAGTGAAAACAGTGCCTAGTGCATAGTAAGGGCTTGAATGCTTGCGTTGTCCTTATTAATGAACTTCGTGACTGTGTGATGAAGTAATCACCGTGGGTATAATTATCCCCATTTTATCAGGGAGGATTCTGGTGCTCAGAAGTTGGATTGTTTGGAATTACTGGCAGTGTCAGGACGAGAACCAAAAGTTGCTATTCCTAGTCTTGTGCTCCTGATTGCTGTCATAAGAGACATTTTAGGGTTTAGTATTTTGCTATATGAACTTGGGAGGATGCAACATTCAGGCAGTAGGCGTGAAGCGAGCATAGATATAAGTGCCTAATCGAGTACTAGGCATCGAGTAGGAATGCAGTGAACATGGGTTTTTTCTTTCTATGCCATTTACAGGCGTTAGGATTCTCATTTCTTTTCTTTTCTTTTTTTTTTAAATTTTATTTATTTGACAGAGAAAGAGTAGGCAGAGAGGCAGGCAGAGAGAGAGAAGGAAGCACTCTGAGAGCCTGATGTGGGGCTTGATCCCAGGACCCTGGGATCATGACCTGAGCCGAAGGCAGAGGCTTTAACCCACTGAGCCATCCAGATGCCCCCGGATTCTCATTTCTATCTTCCTCTCCCTTGTCCCTGCTGATGTCCCAGGTAAGCATTTCATCTGCAGACCACTCGTGCATCTCCAGGCTTTAGTCCTTCCTAGTGGTCCTTGTCAGCTCAGCCCACCATTACAGAGTATCACAGATGGAGTGGCTTGAACAACAGAAATTTACCTTCTCAGAGTTCTGGGGGCTAGAAATCTGAGATCAGGGTGGGGCAGGGTTGGCTTGTCCAAGGCCTAGCTTATAGGTGACCCCTTTCTCCGTGTGTCTTCATGCTCTTCTCTCTGTATAGAAGTGTGTCCTAATCTCTGCTCGTCATAAGGACACCAGTCATCTTGGATTAGGGCCACCCTCAAGACCTCATTTTAATTTAATTACCTTTTAAGAGACCCTATCTACAAATACAGTCACATTCTGAAGTACCAGGGGTTAGGCCTTCAGCATAATGAATTTGAGGGGAACACACTTCAGCCCATAAGAGTGGTCTAGCCAGGAAGAGAGCTGAGCTTCCAAGCCCCAGCCCAGTGTGCTCCCAACTTATACTCACAGTCCCTGGGATAGCAAAACCCATTAAATTTCATCCAGTCAACTCTGTTCAAAAAGCAGGCAAGCAGACAGTCTAGTTCCTTCCTTAAGGAGTAGACGAGAGGAGGTTGGGGCCTGTGCTGGGTGCCGATGCTGAATTGACATTCTGTTGCCCAGTCTCAACACGGCCAAGGATGGGGTGAGCAGAACTGCCTCCATTCTACAGAGGAAAAAGTAAGCCTCTGGCCTCGCTCACATAGATACTGTGAGATTTACTCAGGTGGCACTCCCCTCTCACAACGATGCTGAGAATATGAGGTTAGAATAGGACCATGTTGGCAAAGCAGGAAGAAAGCCGGCCTTGTGTTTCACCCAATTCAAACCCTTGAGAATGAAAAAGTAAATGCAGGCTGATAAAAGAAGGGAAACCAAATGGAAAAAAAAAAAAAATTAAAGGCTGGTTGAAGACTTTTGGAAAAAAAAGTCACAGAGTTCTGAAGTGTATTAAGGAAAGGCTCTGGGTCAACCGCTTTTCTCCATGCTAATCCATCAGCCTGTAAATAAATCATGTTTGTCCCACGGCTTTCATCCATCTCTCCTGGATATTCTGTTTATCCCTCCCTGGCTAGAGGCAGCACAAAGTGGCCGTTGGGAAGTCAGACTCTGAAGTGAGACCATCATGTGCAAATTTAATTTTCTTCACTTATTAGCTGTGTGGCAAGTCACTTAATCTCTTTGAGGTTCTCTCTGCTGTTAAAAAAAAAAAAGCGTAGATGGTAATAACAACTCTCGGTGAGGTTGTTGCAAACATGTATGGAATGTGCTTCGATCAGCACCTGGACCCTCGTAAGCCTCACCGAAAAATTAGCTGTTGGCCCTATAGAGAGCGGGACAGGCAGAGGCCGGGATCTTTGTGATACTTTCGAACATAGGTCTCTAATCCTGGAAATACGCAATGGGCAGGTGGTGGACATTCATTCATTTCTGTTGCATAGATGCATGAATGCCCATGCAGTAGACCTCTGTGACAAAGCGGAAGTGCCTGGTTTCAGCAAGTGTTGAGAACTTTCGTTTGTTCTTTGGTTGAAGCTGTAAGCCCACTGGTGGTTGGAAGAAGGGAGCCTGCCAAGTGGCACGAGAGCTCTAGCTCTAGCTTGTCCAGGGTTGTTTCATACCCCCCCACCACTGACCTGTATTATCTCTAGATCTGAGGGTAGAATCATTTCCTGGGACCTCTGGGCTGGGACAGTGTGGCAACCCCCTCCCGACCTGCAGGTATGTGGATGGCCCTTTGATACATTTAGAGCCTCCACTTTGTTCTGAGCTCTGGGATTGGCTGAATGATTTGCGTTGCCATTAAAATTCCTGGAAGTAATTGCCAAATTTTCTTTCCAGTCTCAGGCTGCATGAAGAAAAGGTGATTAAAGATAGACGACATCATCTCAAAACCTACCCAAACTGCTTTGTCGCAAAAGAACTGATCGACTGGCTGATTGAGCACAAAGAGGCTTCCGACAGAGAGACCGCAATCAAGCTCATGCAGAAGTTAGCTGACCGGGGCATCATTCATCATGGTGAGTGAGGTGCCCACCGAGGAGTCACGGTAACTTGGGAGGAAACCAAGGACCATGTCTTCCATTCCCGATAGGAACCTCCCATTGAACAAATAAAACGCTGGGTCTCCTGTGCATCTGTCTCCAGTGACATCCCCTCCTTCCTCCAAAAGGCATTGGGGTTTATTCCCATTTGCTTCTAAATACATTTCCCTTTCTGTATAGGCATCTCTTAGCAAGGTATCGTATTGCTTTTGGTGCTTTAAATCATTACATAAATGCATGTTTGTTCTTTCACAACTTGATCAGCACTGTAAGGTTCACGCATTTTGATGGCGTAACTCTCGTTTGCTGTGTACACCATATATAATTACGTTTGCCATTATTGTTAACTATGCCAGATATACCGGGTACGCTTACCCATTCTCCTGCTGATGACCATCTAAGAGATTTCTGAGTTTTTCTGTTACTCTCAGTGGTTCCGCGAACACTTCTCCTGGAATTCTCTAACCCTGACCAAGACCTCCCACGTGCTGTTGTTTTGGCTGGAATGCCCTCTCTCTTCACTTTAGCCCAATTTCTCACCATCCTTCAGGTCTCTGCCTACATGCAAGCTCTTCAGAAAAGTGTCCATTCCCTGCAACTAGGTTACTGGGGTTACTGGTTATTCTTTCTTTGGTCTCCCACGGTGATATCCCCTTCTTTCGTTGCCCCCTCGCACCGTATGTTAATTCCAAGTTGACATTTCTCATTATCTCACTAGACATCACATCCTTTGAGGCTGATGTCTGCCCCAGTATTTCAAGAATTTGTGCCATGACTGATGCATAGGAATGGTGTGACCATTCTACTAGATAATGATGGTGATGATGAGGATGGTGATGATAGCTAATATTCCTGTGCTAAACACGTGTACAAAATTGTAGAATGGTGTGCTTCATAACTTAGGTAGTAAAACAAGTCTTTTTTGTTGTCATTTTTATTTTTTATTTTATTTTTTAAAATTTTTAATTTTTATTAACATATAATGTATTATTAGCCCCAGGGCTACAGGTCTGTGAATCACCAGTTTTACACACTTCACAGCACTCACCATAGCACATACCCTCCCCAATGTCCATAACCCCACCACCGTCTCCCTACCCCCTTCTCCCAGCAACCCTCAGTTTGTTTTGTGAGATTAAGAGTCTCTTATGGTAAAACAAGTCTTAATTAACCTTTCACATCATTTGAGGAATTGAATAAGATATTTGTTTTCTTATTTGCCTCTCTGTATACATTGTGTTTCAGTGTGTGACGAGCACAAGGAATTCAAGGACGTCAAACTCTTCTACCGCTTTAGAAAGGATGACGGCACCTTCCCTCTGGACAACGAAGTGAAGGCCTTCATGAGGGGACAGAGGCTGTATGAGAAGTATGTCGCACATGAAATTCCCCACTGTGATCTTAACTTGTGGAGAGAGACAGGGCTATTTCCATCTTTTTATCATTCTGCCTTCAGCCTGGCTCTTCCCTGTGGGACAGTTACATAACTGTTCCTTTTAATACGGGAAAACTCGATCACTCATTTTCTTTTCTCTTTGCCAGAAATCAAGTCAATTTCGTAAGATTCTTAATAAAGAATTTATTTAAATAGAAAATGCTTTATTTAAATAGAAAATACTTAAATATTTATTTTTTATCTTTGAGTCGATTTAGCAAAAGTCCAGAAATAAAAAAAGGTTGGAGCTCGGTGTTTGCCCTCAGTAAGCAAGGCAGTTGCCTATTTTCTCTTTTTGAGGACTGTTGTATAACTCAGAGGTTTAGTCTTGTGAGTGGCTGGAGAAGCAGTGTCAAGTACAGGGGAAGTTCAGGTTCAGGTCAAGAGATGAGTAGTGAGAGAACTTCAGATAGCAGGATGGTCTAAGAGGAATCATCACTCAGCTCTTTGAAGATGCCTTGTCATCCAGGAGTGTTCCACTGCTGGGGTCTCAGATCTCCCCACTGGTCTGTCTCTGAGCTGATCTCCTGTTCCTGTGGCCTCTTTCTCATCCCACCTCTTGTTTTTTGCCAAGGCAGCCACTAGAGAAAGGAGGGTGGGGGTGGGATGCTCCCTCCTTAACACTGGGTGCCTTTCAAATAGGTTGAAAATAGGTCTTTATCACACAAAAGAGCCTACTGTGTGATGGGTGTGTTGGTGCATTGGGAGGTGGGTCTGGGGAGTCAGATTAAGTAACGTGATGGTGAAGAGCCAGATAAGTTTGATTCTAGCCCTGTCACCTCCCCTCTGTCAACCTCAGTCCTCTTTTATGACTGAGGAGGGGTGATGGGACTGCCTCCTAGGTGTTTAGTGCTGTTGTGGGAATTAAAAGAATAAATGTGTCAGGTACTTGAATATTTAGCTCAGTGACTGTGGTATGCTGTCAGACCCCAGAGATGATAGCCATTTCAGGTATTAGTCTAGTATTGTCCAACGACTTAATGCCGCTTAATGCCCCCTACGTGTTCCTTCTCCCATCACTTGCTTTCTAAAACTGAAGTGTAGAAAATCCCTCCTCTCCCAGACTCACATGAATTTGAAGGAAGGTGTCCATCAGCACCTCCATTTGTATATCTGAGTGCAGTGCTTGTTTTGTTGCTGTTTTCTTTCTTTTTATGTTTAATTCTTATTTAAATTCAATTGATTAACATATAATGTCTTACTAGTTTCAGAAGTAGAGGTCAGTGGTTCATTAGTCTTATATAACACCCAGTGCTCATTCCATCACGTGCCCTCCTTAAGGCCCATCCCCCAATTACCCCATCCCCCCACCCCATCTCCCCTCCAGCAATCCTCAGTTGGTTTCCTGTGATGAAGAGTCTTCCGTTGTTGGTGTTTTCTTTTTCTTTCTTAACTCCTTCTGGAAAATTATAGTAGGTGCTAGATGTTTAGATCACCAAGATAGTCCTTTCAAACTATAAGATTCTATGTTGTCAAAAATATACATGTTATTTCCATGGATCAATATTGCTCTCTTTTTTCTGTGTGCAGTTGGCCTTCCTATCATAAATGTTCAGTGTCTCAATTTCCAAGTAAACTTATTCCTCCAAACTGCTTGTGAAATTAGTACTAGGAAAAGTAATTTAATCGGTACTTAACCTTGCATGAACTAGCTGCCTCCTCGCAGTCTTGGCCCTACACTTGGTTGCTGGAACACACTTGGAACAAACTTTGGGGCCTTTGGAATGATGGCTCAGTTTACCTACTTGAAAAGTTTTATTTAGCATTATATATTATATATATAATATAATTATATAATAATATAATATATTAATTTATTGATATAAATATCTTAATTTATTCTTTGTATATTAATACAAACAATAAAATTTATTAATATGAAATTTAATATAATTTTTAAATATTTTTTATATATCATTTTTATTGTATTTCCCTGGATATCTTTTCTATGAATTCCAGCATGTACTATTATTTTGTAAGCTTTGTATACTTTCAAAATTATATGAAGAAGAAAATAGTTTTGTTCACAGCTCTTTTTAAGAAATTTATTTATTTTAGTATGGAAGGTTTTGTCCCTTTTTTTGCCAGAAAACTCGCTTAGGATATCTCTAACATTTGTGAAAGAAGTCCTTGCAAAATATATGTTCCTTTTATTTTTTTTCCTTTTAAGATAATAACAATAACATCAGTTGGTTAATAACTATGTATCAGGCATCCTGCCTGACTAGTCCATTTGTTTGGTCATCATAACAAACCCTGATTTGGATCAACTGTACCCATTTTATGGATGAGGAAAATGTGGCAGGGAGCGATTCAATCTCTTACCCAAGGTCAGTTCACTAATAAAAACATCTGGGATTTGAACCCAGAAGCCCAAAGCCCAAACTTATTGCTACTAGGCTATTGATAAATCTTAGAATGTTTATTATTAGGAAAGAGTTATCATTATTTATTATTTATGGAGATTAAACTTATGAAATTAATGTTTTCTTCAAAACGTAGTTTATCTTAAAATGTAACATGGGGATTGTAAATATCCAGATATGGAATTTTCTGTAAAATTCACAGAAATTTGAAAATATGAAAATACTCCAAGTAGACATTGGAGGTGAATAAAGTGATTTTTCTTCATGATTAATCTACCTATAGATTTAGGGACTAAAGAAGATAAGGAGTATAATTATTGGTACCTTAACAACAAAAAAAAAGAGATAAATCTATATGGTATTTTATAAAATGTGATGAAAACAGTATCTTTTATTTATAAATTAAGTTCCACAAAGCATTTCCCCTAGATTATTTTATCTGAATTCTCTCAATAGACTAATGATAGAATGGCAAATAATAATAGAAATAATAGCATAGTAATTAACAGTATAAAATATAATATAAAATACATGGGACATTACATTACTACCCTGTTTCTCAGAAGGAGCATCTGGGACCTGAGGCAATCAGGTCATTTCTATGTGTTGGTGATACAGCGTGAGAGGGTAACAGGTGTGTGGGCTGCTGCTCCCCACACCCTCCCTGCAGCTCTGGGGGGCTGACTGTATTGTCAATATTTCCTTTTTGTTTTCCTCTTGCTTGTTTGTTCTGTGTTATTAATAGAACTTTGTGAAACCAGGTGGTTTCTGTGTGAGGTTTTGCTGAGCCAGGCTGACTTGGGGGCACTTGGCTTTCTAACCTGTAGAGGTGTTTCTCAGTCTGCTGGTTTGTAGGGCAAAGCTGTACTTCCAATTTAAATTCAGTGACTCTGCTACCTCTTAGGATCCACATGTCTCCTGTGAATGTAACTCACAGGTACTCAAACAAATTCTGGTTAAGGGGTAAAAACTGGCCATTTCAGGGTGTCCTGCCAATAGAAAGGTTATGGGAGAGCTGGTGACATGAGTCCTCTGCAGAGTGAGTGACAGTGGATGTGGTTTTCAGAGTCACACAGCCCTCTGTATGGGGGCTCACACATTAGTCTGTGTGAGTCCAATCCCAGTCTCTCAACTGACTTGCTCTGTGACCTTGAGCCGACAGCGGAACCTCATTGATCTGTAGTCATAAATGGAAGTAAGACGGGGTCTCACCTGGAAAAGCTGCGGGGAGGACTTTACAGCCTGTACATTGCTAAGCACAGTGCTTGGCATGGGGTGAGCACCCAAGAAAAGTTAGCTGCTGATACTAGAGTAGTAAATCATAATGTAAATAAATGATACCCATTATTATTTAGCCCAGAACAGAAGTTAAGAGTCCAGGAACCGGGGCGCCTGGGTGGCTCAGTGGGTTAAAACCTCTGCCTTCAGCTTAAGTCATGATCTCAGGGTCCTGGGATCGAGCCCCGCATCGGGCTCTCTGCTCAGCGGGGATCCTGCTTCCTCCTCTCTCTCTCTGCCTGCCTCTCTGACTACTTGTGATCTCTATCAAATAAATAAAATCTTTAAAAAAAAAAAAAAAAGAGTCCAGGAACCAGGCTACCTGGGTGTGAATCCTGGCTCCGTGCCTACTTATCAAGGGCCTTCACCAAACTGTGCCTGTAATTGCCCTCCTAGTAGATGGATATATGGCCAGTATCCACCTTTCAGACTCCTTGTGGGGCTTAAATGAACTACATGATGTATAAGGCACACAGGACAGGGCCTGCCTCAGAGTAGGAGCATATCCCGTCGCTCCTCTCCTGCAGCTGGAAGCGAGTGTGAGAAAGAGGATGTGTGCCCCTGGATCGATGCCCAGACTTTGTCATTTTGTGTAATTCATCTGAGCACATTCAAGGCACAATGCACTTTCATCAACTAGCTTTCATCAGACCTTCACTGCGTCTGAAGGTGCCTAAAAGAAGGCCTGCCATCTCTCAAGGAGGGGCTTCCCGTTTCCCACTTAATTTTGCATGGGCCCACATACCCCAGACACACAACGCATGACTGTAACACATTCTCCTGAAGAGTACAATTTGTACTTTTCTTTTTTCTTTTTAAATTTTACTTATTTATTCATGAGAGAGAGAGCAGAGAGTGATAGAGAGGCAAAAGGAGAAGCAGGCTCTCCGCCGAGCAGGGAGCCCGATGCAGGACTCAATCCCAAGACCCCGGGATCATGACCAGAGCCGAAGGCAAACGCTTAACTGACTGAGCCGCCCAGGTGCCCCAATTTGTACTTTTCAAATGAGACCAGCATGAACAGGATAAATATCTGTAACTTAGAAGAGCAATGTTGAATTTGTGCCGCTGCCGTCCTGTGGTAGAAGATACTTTGAGCGCATGTTCCAAACTATTAAATTTGATTATCATTCAGCAGTCAGCAAAAGAGATCACTTTAAAATGAGTTGAACTCAGGATGATCCGTTCTATATACTGATAAAGAGAGGTAGTTATAAAAGAGAAAATGAGTTGACTGTACGAATTTGGACTTCCCTTACTAAAACTAGTAGTTGAAATGGACATCTGAAA